TGTGATTTTTTAAAAAAGTGAGGAGTAATTCTCCAGTGAAACCATCTAAGCCTGGAGGTTTCTTTTTTGGTAATTTTTAAATTGCAAACTCAATTTCCTTGAGTTATGGGGTTATTTAAATTATCTATTTACATTGGGTGATTTGAGCTAGTTTGTGTTTTTTGGAGAAGTGGTTCATTTTTTCTTGGTTGTCAAATTTATTTGTGTAGAGTTTTTTGAATATTCCTTTATTATCCTTTGATATGTTCAGTGTCTGTAGTGATAACTCCTGTTTCATTATGATATTTAAAATTTGTGTCTTCTCTTTTCTTTGTAAGTCCTGCTACAGGTTGCTAAATTCTATTGATCTTTTATTTTTTTATTTTTTTTCCTTTTTGTCTTTTTTCATGACCGGTAATGGGATCACAACCCTCGGTGTCGCGCCCGCACCGCGCTCAACCAGTGAGCGGACTGGTCTCTATATGGGATCCGAACCCTCAGCGGGAGCGCCGCCGCGCTCCCAAGCACTGCACTCTACCGAGTGCGCCACCGGGCCGGCCCTCTATTGATCTTTTAAAGGAAACAGCTCTTTCACTGTTTTAACTATTGTTTATTTTTTTTTTAAATTTTGATGTTTTCTGTTCTTTTCTTCATTAATCCCAATCTTCTGCTTGCTTATTTTGCTCTTCTTTTTCTAGCTTCTTGAGGTGGTGATCTATTATTTATTTGAGACTTTTCCTTTTTTCTAATGCATGCATTTATCACTATAAGTTTTCTTCTCAGCACTTGGATATGTTGCATTTTAATTATATTCAGTTCAATGCATTTGTTTTTTTTATTTCCCTTGAGACTTCCTCTTTGCCTGATAGATTTTTTAGAGCTATGTTTTTAAATTTGAAGTGTTTGAAGATTTTCTTATCTTTCTTATATCAATTCCTAGTTTGATTCCATATATTAATTTCTGGTTTGAACCCATTCTGTATAATTATTATTCCTTTTAAATTTGTTGAGGTATGCTTTATGGCCTAATTTGTTAAATGTTCTGTCAGCACTTGAAAAGAATGTGCATTCTGCTGTCACTGGATAGAATGTTTGATAAATACCAATCAGACTATTTTGGTTGATGGCATTTTGAGTTCTTTTACATTCTTGTTGATTTTCTTTTTTAAAAAAAGAAAAAAAAATACTCATGGAGTTCTTCATGAATTTTTGTGTAATCTGTGTGCTTGGACCGTGTTAATCTTCTCTGTATTATTCTAATTTTAGTACATGTGCTGACAAAGCCAGCACTACTTGTTGATTTTCTGTCTAGTTCTATTAGTAATTGAAATGGAGGTGCTGACATCTCTGACTATAATTGTGGATTTTTCTATATCTCTTATCAGTTCTACCAGTTTTTGCATCACGTATTTTGGAGCTCTGTTGTTTGCTGAATACATATTTAGGATTGCTATGTCTTCTTGGTGGATTAGACCTTTTATCATTATATGATATTTCTCTCTGTTTCCAGTAATTTTATTTGCTTTACATGATATGAATATAGCCACTCTTTTTTTCCTTTTATTAATGTTCGCATAATATATTTTTCCATATTTTTAATTCAGCCTGCTTATGTTGTTATATTTGAAGTGAAATTCCATTTATTTTATTTTTTTTTATTTTGTCAATATACAATGTGGTTAGTTATTGTGTCCCATCACCAAAACCAAAACCTCCCTCCCTCCTCCCTCTTCCCCCTCCCACCCAGATGTGTCCCCTCCATTTTCTTGTTGTAAGAGCTTCAAAAAAAAAAAAAAAAAAAAAAGTTGAGGTTGTTAAATCTTCCTCTCCCTGCCCCCCCCCCGGTTTTTTTTTTTGTTGTTGTTGTTGTTGATGTTGTTGTTGTTGCTGTTTGTTTTTGCCAGTATTTAGCATACTGAAAACAGATACAAGAAAGGATCATGCTTTTTAATATACTCTGCCATTTTCTGTCTACAAATTGGTGTCTCTAGACCATTTGTATTTAATCTAATTATTGATACCTCAGTGCTTAAGCCTGACATTGTATTTTTTTTTTTTTTGTATCAATTCTATTTTTTGTTCCTCTGTTTATTTTTCTTGTTTTCTGGTGGGTTACTTGAACATTTGTTTTAGAACTCCATTTTGATTTATCCATAGTGTTTTTAGTGCATATTTTTGTACAGTTTTTGGTTGCTTTTTGGAGCTTTGTGGTTTGCTGTAGATATTACAATATAAATACATTATGACAGTCAATTGATGTCATCTTTTTACCGGTTTGAGTAAAGTATAGAAACCTTTCGTCCTTTTATGTCTCTTCACCCTACCAAATTTATAGTATAATTGCATATCATACATTTAGACTAACACCTGATGTCATCTTTTTACCGGTTTGAGTAAAGTATAGAAACCTTTCGTCCTTTTATGTCTCTTTACCCTACCAAATTTATAGTATAATTGCATATCATACATTTAGAATAACACTAGACAATGCTATCATTTTTGCTTGGACTAGGAAACTTAATTTAGAAAAAAAGAATCTGTTAAAATAAATCAAATGAGCATTCTAGAGATGCCAAAAAACAAACAAACAAACAAAAAAACCCCAAAATATCAAAAAACAAACAAACAAAAAAAAAACAAAGAAAGACAAACAAACAAACAAAAAAACCCCAAAATATCAAAAAACAAACAAACAAACAAAAAAAAACAAAGAAAAAGAAAGAAATCTGGGATAAATAACTCATTTTGCCATTTATTTTTCTTTTAGTTTCTTTCTATTTATCATAGATATTTTGATGTCCTCTCTATTAACTCCAGTATATAGATGAGCTGTTAATTTTTTTCTAATAACTGATTTATATCATCAGTTTTTCCTACTTTTTTGTATGTTTAGTATTTTTTTTTAAGTCTGCTGAAATTGTGAATTATATGATACAGAAGCATTAAAAGTTTTTGAATTTCTTTCTGGACAGCAGTTAAATTACTTGAAGATCACCTTGCTCCTCTAAGGCTTAGCTTTAAGCTGCGTTATATTTCATTTTTTTACCTTTCTCCTAGAACATAGCCCTTCCTCCTGTGCATCTCCTAAGGCAAGGAATTTCTAGAGTCCCTAACAGGTTTCTAAGTTGTTCACCAATATCTCCCTATTCTGGCTGGATCTGAACTTTGATATCTTACCAGGAATTTGTTAGTTCCAGATGATCTGTTATGATTTCAGTGTCCCAGTAGCTGCTTTTTCCTAGGTCTCTCTCTTTCTTGGCCCACTTTCACATAGCTAAGGAGTTAAACAAGGACCCAGATAGCATTTTCAAACATATTTCTAGGGTTCTTTCTCCACAGCTGTCCCTCCAAATCCCAACTAAATTATCAGCCTTGAAGTTTGATCACTGCTTCCTCTGGTTACCAAGACTACTGATACCTGCTTGCGTTTTATATTCCTGTCCTAAGGCCAGGAAAATGCCTTCCTGGAAAATCCTGAGTGAATGTGTTACTCACCTTACATACTTCACCTCCCTTAAAGATTTCATACGTGCCTTGAAATAGGAATGTTCTTCAATGCTTGTCAAAGCTTGTTTTCTTTATTTTGTACAGATAGTATAGTTTTTTGTTTTTTTTTTTTTGGTGAGAGGGTGAATCTGCTGCTAGCCAATTTGGTATAGTCAAGACACATACTAATTTATCTTTAATGTAAAGCTATAAAATCTTCTTTGTATGTTAAAATTTTTAATTAAAAATATAGTAATTATAAGATTACTGAAAATAAATGTTTCAATAATTTGATTTCATGAGAAAAGGGAGTCAGTATGTCAAGTATGAAGGTACTTCAAAAAGTTACTGGAAAAATAGAATTAAAAGATAATATGAATCTTTCCATGAACTTTTTGAAATACTCTTGTATGTATTAGAAGTATTAGTCATTTTACATGACATTGTTTAGAGGTCTGTCTTGTGTGCATGATCATTAGTGTGGTTTATCTTTATAAGTTGAGAAGCTAAGCCTCTAGTATGTTCTATGTCCTACCATATATTTCTTTACTTATTTATTTTGCTGCTTTTTCTTCAAATAGTTGAAGGGCACGATAAGGTGTATATCATTGCCTGGAAACATCTGCTGTTGTGGAAAATAAAAGGACAGTAGCTACAGAGAAAACCTTTTTCCAAGAGACAAAAAAATAACATGAAAGTGAGGTAATTAGATAATAAATCTGCCTTTTATTATGTATGTTGTAAAACGGGAGACTGGAGGAGAGAAGTAAATGGGTAGTGAAAATGAAAGCAGAAATAAAGTAGGAATCGAAATATTTATATAAGGAGTTGTGCGATTGGTTGTAAAACGGGAGACTGGAGGAGAGAAGTAAATGGGTAGTGAAAATGAAAGCAGAAATAAGGTAGGAATCGAAATATTTATATAAGGAGTTGTGCGATTGTATCACTTTATTTTTGTTGAACACTAAATAGTTTTCAACTGAAGCAGAGAACTTGGAAATTATAAGCTTTCCAAAAGTGAATTTCAGGGCTTTCTTCATTTGTGTCATTGTTGGTCTTGTAGAAATATACAAGTTCTGCAATGATTATATGTTTTGAGCTATTTTCTCCAGTTAGGGTTTTTTTCTCCTGGTCGATATTTCACTGAAAAATGGCATGTGGTATCAGAGGTTTTGAATGGTTTTCTGGACTGGTTACATTTGGTAATAGACTGATATCTTATTTAAGCTATTAAAAAACAAAGAGAGATGTTTTCTTTATAAAGACACTAATCTATTTCTTTAAAAAATGGGTTCTATAGATTTTTATAGCATTAAACATTTTGATAGCTCAAATGCCTCATCTCTGAACAAAGATTCTCAACCCCAGGGACTATCCTTGCACATCAAAATTTTTCACATTTTTAGTCAATATTGGCCAATTCATATTCTAATGTCAAAATTTGTTGATAAGTAATTTTTCTGATGTTTAAATAATCCTCAAACCACATCTCAAAGAGAAAAGGCTCCACCTAGCCAAAAAGTTCTATCCACCTCTCACATCCTCTTCTGCAGTGCTCTGTACAAAGCACCCTTCACCTGAGCATTCCTCAGGCTGTAGATGAGGGGATTCAACATAGGGTTGAAGAGGCTGTAAAAGAGGGACAGCATTTTCTCTTGTTCCTTTCGTTGACTGTAGTCTGGGACCATATAAACCACCATGGCAGTGCCAAAGAAGAGCCCAACCACACAGAGGTGGGAGGAACAGGTGGAGAAGGCCTTTATGCGGCCCTCCTTGGACTGGATCTTCAGGATGGTCCAGAGGATGCTAGTATAAGAGACCAGAACCAAGCAAAGGGGCCCGACTAACACAAACACACAGGCTGCTAAGATGACCACTTGGTTGATCCAGGGATCAGCACAGGCCAGCTTGAGGACAGATAGAATTTCACAGAATAGTTGGTTCACCTTCTGGGGCCCACAGAAGGGCAACCTTAAGAGGAGCATTGCATGTACCAGAGCTAGGATAAATCCACATGTCCAGGAAGTGACAGCAAGGACCGTGCACACTCTCCAGCTCATGATGCCAGTGTATTGAAGAGGGTGGCAGATGGCCACAAACCTGTCATAGGACATCACCACCAAAATCAGACATTCTGTGTGAGCAAAAGCCAAATACAAGAATGTCTGCATTATGCATGGAACAAAGGAGATGGTTCTTTTCTGGTTTAGTAGATTTACCAGCATATTAGGGACATTGTTGGAAGCATAGGACATGTCAATGACAGCCAGATGTGAGAGAAAAAAGTACATGGGGGTGTGCAGTCTGAGGTCCAGACAAATTAGTCCTAAGATCGTCCCATTTGCCAGCAGACCGAAGGCATAAAACAGCAAGCAGACCCAGAAGAGGAGCACCTCCATGTCCGCACTGAGCTGGAATCCCATCAGGATGAATTCTGTGACCCATGTCTGGTTCCCTCCCATTCTTCAACGACAGTGTAGAAGGGCTGGAGTGTGATAGAAAGGTCAGAGCTGAAGGATCAATCAAAACTGGAGTTATTTAGCTCAAAATAATTCAGAGAAAACATATGCTAGTCTCTATTTTGTTTAAATTATTTTCAGTCTTAATTGGACAAATATTTCAAAACCATACTTAGAGAGGAAGGACAACCTAATTTAGCACAGAATAAAAACAGTATTATGGGATAATAGAGCCCCATAAATAATTTTATTCTAGAACATCTACTTCAGTTTCTGACTACTTTTAGAAAATCTGCTATATGTCATCTATTTAACAGTATTTATATTAATTGGTTGTTTATTTTTAAGGTAAAAAACTTTATTTCAATTAGTCCCTTAATACCTTTACGTACTTTTTTTTCCATGAGAAAAATTTGCTGACACTGGACAATTTTAAGTCACAAGCCAGTGTTTCACGAGGCTGATTCATAGTGGAACTAAGAAGGTTCATGTCCTTACCTGAAGATATGACATTGAATTTCCTACTTCTTTTTAGAAATTATGAAGTGATACTTTATGCAAATGACTGAGAACCTAACAACGAAGGTAAGCATTTTTATTATGTTGATTTTTGAATATCTCACCTTTTTAATGTTTATATATTCACCAAAAATATATTAGAAGTAAAAATTGGTAAGAAATAAATATTACACTTACTAATTGTTTTTCATGTGTCCATAATGTTATGAGCCTTTTCCCATGTCAAAAAAAATCTCTTTTATGACATTTATTTAGCTGATGGATTTTTTTTTCATTTTATACATATACTGTAATTTAGTAAATATCATTTTTTGACGATTATATTGTGGATCATATCTGTTTTATTTACTGTGATGTATTCATTCTCTTCAACTCCAGGATCAGACAAATATTTTCATAAAACAATTGCTATCGGAGTATGACACGAGGGTACTTCAAAAAGTTTGTGGAAAACAGCATTGAAAGACAGTATGAATCTTCTCATGAACATATTGAAGCATGTACCAAACTCGTGGATAAAATGGAAGATTATCACTCATAACTCACTCTACTATGTCATTGCTTTTGAAAGGGCAATAAAGATGGCTTATAACAACTGTCACTAGGACTTTGGTTTGGTTTTAGGCTATTTGGCAGTCACTCAATAATATCAAAATTTGTAGCAAATGCCATGATGACAATTTTATTGCAGAGGTGCCCGTAACTACCTATAGCTATCTTTATACTTTCAATAAGTAATTTTAAGTAAGACATTTAACATCTCAGCACATTGATTCTTTCACCTAGCTGTGTGAAGCCCTTTTTCTCTGTGGCTGGTATCAGAGAGCCATATGCACAGACAATAGCCTGGACATTTTCTTTGTCTCCTGCTCACCTCTTCATTAGTGACAGTTCTGGCTTTCATTCCTAATCACACTATTGGAGGAGAATGATGCCAAGGGAAATCAGAAAACCCTTACTCACAGTTCATCTAGGAAGAGCTCCCCAGGGGAACCTCTTTGTTTGCCAGCCCAAATGCCTTGAACACAAACTCCGACTCAGGAAGGCAGAAAGCCAGGAAATGCTCTTTCAACATAGTGCAAGAGGCTTTTGCTACCTCCTTGTCCTACTGCAACAATCCGCATCCCAAACCACTTACGAATGCAAATAAATCTCTTCTGCATGAGGTGGTGGTAGTTATTGCTGTTACCTCAAGATTCCACTGTGACCTACTGGCATCCTTGCAGAGGGTAGACCTATTCCTCCTTCCAGCAGTCTCCATGGTGAGAAATCTCAGGGTCAAAAATATTTATTTCACTTGCTGGTGGTGTTGACTCATAACATAGCTGTTTTTCTCTGCACTCCTGCAAACAAAGGTTTTATGATCCAATCAGTTCAATACAAACAGTTCTCAAGACTCTTGAGAATTTAGATTTCCTGTGGGGCCCCTAAATCATTATACCTATATATATCTTTCCTGGGAGAAAAAGACTTGCTTAATCTTCTCCCTGAAGGAAAACAAAAATCACCCATATCTGATATCCCTGGAGAAAATATTTGGTGAAAAGCAAGGAGCAGATGGATACTCAGAGCATGATATAGATTTGCAAACATCTCAAAGGTCATAACTTGAAGCAAATTATAGAACTAATACTTAGTTTTGCTAATTCAAACCTCCTATTATCCACAAAGTGGTTTATAAGATCTGTGTCTCCCTGATTTCTGAAAGATGGGCCTGTAGACCCCATCCTTGCTTCTCTAGGGAGGATTGGTCCTCAAAAGAAGATGCATGTCTTTATCTGCTGAAGAACGAAATTAGGGTGCAAAGGAATGAGATTATAATAACCACCTCGCCAGTGTTCAACATTTATTGTATTTCAGGACCTCTGGCATATACGTCACACATACTATTTTATTTAATCCCATGTATTGGGAAGTATTACTGTCACTGAGTTATGGATATGGATTATGAAGTTAGGGAAATAAGTATATTGTCCACAGTTTATCAACGGCCAGCACAAAGAATAAATTAAATATATAGATGCAACATCTTGTTCCTAACTACTTACCTAAATGTTCATTTTTTTTTTTTCCTTTTTGTCTTTTTTCGTGACCGGCAACGGATCGCAACCCTCAGTGTCGCGCCCGTACCGGACCGGGACCGGCAACAGGATCGCAACCACCGGCAACAACGGATCGCAACCCTCAGTGTCGCGCCTGTACCGGACCGGGACCGGCAACAGGATCGCAACCACCGGCAACAGGATTGCAACCCTCAGTGCTGCGCCCGCACCTTGCTCAGCCAGTGAGCGGCCGGTCTGTATGTGGGATCCGAACCCTCGGCGGGAGCGCCGCCGTGCTCCCAAGTGGCGCACTGTAGCAGTGCGCCACCGGGCCGGCCCTATATGTTCATTTTAAAAAGATCTTTAAGTGTTCTCCCAGAAAAGCTCCACCTTTAGTCCTCAGCCCTTATCAGCTCTCACTGCTCTCATATTACTCCAGAATTCCTACTCGTCCTCCCCTGGATGTGATTCATGACCTCAGAAGAGAATAATTTCTCTTTCTGTCTCTTGCTCTAAATTACTTCAGATTATATTTTATGTAAATCCAATCTCAAAAATTTCTTCAAGATGTCTTTACTGTCTAGTAGCTCTAAAATTGTTAATCAGGTGCTGCTCCATTGAACAGGCTATATAAGAAGGTGTTGCCATAATTTTGAATTTATTCTAGCACATTTCAATCTATATAAAGCATAAACAGTAATATTAAAGGAATGCAAATTAGTACTTTCAAATATGTTTTACAAATGGAAAGGTGAACAGGTAAATTAGGTGACCTGATGGTTGAAGTAGATGAACTAGAGATATAGAGACACATTAACACATTAACTTCTTGAAATTATTTTGCAATGATAACAAAATGAGGTAATATAATCTCGTATATTTCATTGTTAGAGGTTTGACAGTAAATATCTTCAACAGCAGTAGCTTTGTTTTGGGGGCTTGTTTGTAGTAGATAAAATAATGACCCCCTAAGATGTCCACATCCCAATTACTAATTCCTCATATGGCAAAAGGAATTTTGCAGATGTGATTTAGTTAAGGATCATGAGATGAGGAGATTATCATGGGTTATCCACATGGACCCAATATAATAACAAAGGCACTTATGGAGGCAGGAGGTCAGAGAAGACAGAACCTGCCATGCTGCTGGCTTTGAAGGAGTCAAAAAATGTAGGTGGCTGCTGAAAAATGTAAAGGACAAGTAAACAAAATTTTTCCTGGAGCCACCAGAAAGAACACAACCCTATTTTAGACTTCTGGCCTCTAGAATTATAAGATAATATATACATTTTTTTATTTTAAGTCATCGAGTTGTGGTAATGTGTTTCAGCTGTAATAAGAAAGTAAGACAGGGTTCATCATGCTTTATTTTCAGTATGTTATAAAAATAAATGCACTTTCTGACTTCTGAGAGCACTCAAATAAAAATTCAAAAAGAAGTGGGCAATCTGGGTTTTGGTTAAGTATAAAGGAGATTGGAAGTCATCACTCTTGTCTTGATGATGATAAAAAAGCTGAACAAACTGAAAATCAAAAGCTCTTCATCAGAGAATAGAGGTCACAGGATAAAATATTTCCTTCCCAAATTGGAGAGAAAAACAGGCAGGTATAGAGAATCATAGCTCATAGCAGCAGAAGTCAAGGAGTGGAAATCTTTGCCAGAAACAGTTCAAGGGTAGGAAAACATAAACTGCAGTTATGTGATTGTTGGAAGCTCAGTGTGACTAAGTCCAAGTGTTAAAAACACCAGAGTGGCTCAATCTTACTCTGTGAGCCCTTACACATTTGTGAGTTTTACCTCCTGAAGATTCACCAGGTTCTAACAGTAAAGATCAAAGAAAAATTAACTCCATATTCCATCAAAAAAAAAAAAAAAAAGAAAAAAAAGAAAAAAGTAGCCATTTCAAAATCATTCCAGAGCTTTCGGACATTCTTAACAAGACCCACTTTCAAGGGAAACTATTTTACCAGAGCCCTACTGACTAGGGGTTTACTAGAGCCGAACTGAACTGGTGGGAGGAAAATACCCCACTGAAGCCAGCTCTGGCTTTCTGCATGGTGGGAGAGATACACAATTCCAGCTTTTTCTAGTCTTCCTGTTTCACCTAAAGGCAGGGTGGGGAGGGGTAGTCAAAACTGATAAGCACTTGTGAAGATAAGAGTCCAGTGGCCCAGACTCATGAAAACACTGGGGCTATTATAAGACTATGTACTGCTTTGCCTCCCCCACACTTTGTCACAACATCAATAATGCTCCTGTGTAATAACAGGCTAATAGAACTAAGAGAACTGCATGTTCATGACTCTTGATTTAAGAAAAAGTCCCTAGAAAAACCCAAAGACAACAGGGAAGAAAAACCAACAACAAATAAGCAAGCAAAAATTCCAGAGGAATTTTAAGCCTGAAACCTACAATTATAGCAAATAGTAAACACTACCTGA